CCTATTATTGGATAATTGATATAGGATAATTGAAATAGATGAAATAGATTATGTTATTAATTTATATTAATTTTAAAACTTTAGAGTGAATAAAGCATAAAGTTAAATATTTACAGATAAATTTCAAATCATATGTTTCATCCAAATAAAATTTAGAATTATATCTCTGATTAAAATGACACTTAAAGGTACCAATAGGCAATTAGTAATTAGGACATGATACAATTATTGGATGTAATGTGCCTGATAAATACAAAAATTTGTAAATGAGTTACAAATTACATTTATTAAAAAATGTCATGTTACAAAAATATATATTCGTACTGAGAAAAAAATTGTTATTTAAAAAAAATATTAGTTGATTTAACTAAACTATTTAACTACTTTAAATGCAGCGGTTACGGGCTGTCAAATAAATATTTATTCAAACATACAATGTGTTTTATATTGCAATATTTTATTAACCTAAATATATAAATACTTAAACTAAATTATCACTACGAACTAAACGCATTTAGTCAAGTTAACAACTTTTTTTCTCAGTATTTATTCAAAACTGTAGATTTTCAAGAATATATATTCATAAAAACATAATAATTTTCATATTTATTCATAGTATTCAAACAAAACGTAAACTAAAGACGTAAAATTAAAGTTTTTATATTGTAACCTTTTTATATTGTAACAATAAGTAACCTTTGCTACTTAACCATAACCAACACTTTGATAATTCTAAACGATTAGATAACGTATTGTTAAATTTTGTTTTTCTGTTATCTTTAATTCGATATGGAAGGAAAAATTGATGTGTTTGAAATGAAAATAATTAAAGTGATTGAAATGATAATGATAATTTTTGTTACGCGTATATTACTTTTTTTATTCCTTTTATGAATGTGATTTTTTTGGATATAATGTTAATTAAAAAATTGAATGCAACAGGAACGTATAAATAACTTTATACATAATTTTAAAAAAGAATTTATAAAGTTTAAAGTCTGAATATTATTCTTCTGCCGATTATTGTTATTTTGCAGATTTTTATTTGCTGTATGATTGATAATTATGTGCAGATAATGCAGAAATGAAAATGATATAAAAATTATTTTGTAATCAAATAAAAAATATTCGTGATCATATTCACAAATATATTTATTTAAAAATATTTTTTTAATATTTTTTAAATATT